TTACTTAATCATTAGCATTTCTCTTGCTGTACCCATAGGTAGCAACTGCTATGTAGCAGAAAGACGACTGGACAGGTTTGAAGAAACCTGGGTTTATGCCCACGTCTGACATGTTACCTTGCTGTCTTTGGGCCTCCATTTCTACATGTGGAAAGTGAGAAGCTGAAATAAACTTGCTTACGTTTCCTTCAACTCTGAAACTGATAACTACTATATTTGGAAATGCTCTGTCCCTCCCTAAAGGGGAGCTTTCTGAGAGGTTTCTGCGTCAGCTTTCTGAGAGGTTTCCAGTATCAACAACTTCAGTGTCTTCCACTAACTATTAAGGCAAAAGGTTTAAACAAGAAGTGCTCTTACTTTTATGAAAAAGGTACATACTAGTTATAGCCTTCAGGAAGATTCTGTGGAATCACATCTAACATTTGCAACTGGAGGCATTTAAATATTTGAGCTCATTGTAGCACTATACAGCCAATAATAAAGCATCACAGTGTGAAAAGGTTCTTTCTGCTCTCCACAAGAATTTGTGACACAGAACTTTCTCATATCCAAATGTGAAATGTGATTCACACTCAGAATGTGTCATAATTTGCATACACTATTAAAACTGGGACTTCTTTGTGTATACAGCTACATAACATCTCAGACATGTTGGTAAGAAATAAACCATAATTGAGACGGGTGGTGACAGCATCCAACTGGTTAGAGCAAATTACTTCTATTATACTGATGATAATTCCTGTTAATACTTTATTTTCTGTCATTATATAAATAGCCCATAAAATCTCTATTATGTAATGCTCACAGCTACTCTTGCATTAAGAGCCCTGGATGCATGTTTGGGTACCAAGCATAACTACCATTACAACAATCACCAAAGAACGATATATACCCAAGTCCCCTATAATTTCAGGAATGCAGCAGGATAGAGGGTGAAGTGAAGAGGAGGGAAGAAAGGGTAAAAAGATAAAAATGAGCATGTATCCATACATATGCCTTTGGGCTACTCAAGCTGATCCTGGGAATTTCTGGAGCTGTATATCAACTCCGGTGTTTAGCTCAGAGATATTCCCCACCAAACCCCTCCCTGTCCTGTTCCAACCTCCACATACACACCAAACACAGATTCCAGATCTCTATCATATCTCTGAGTATAAAACAACTGGAAGATGACACGGAAGCAGCCACTCTGTGCATTTGATATCAGAATATACCACCTTTACCCCCCAAAAATCTGTAAAGAACAAGTCTCTCTGCACATTGAATTCTCTTAACAAAGCTTGCCTCCTTTCCCCGCAGTGGAGCAAAATATTTTTTTTCCTGGCATTATTACCTGCAAGAGAGTAGCAAACGCCCTAAAAAAGGTTTTCGTAGTTACTGGACAAAGGAAGGTATGATTACCTCTACTTAGTGTCAATGAGGAAGGAAAGAGGGAAAGAGAAGGGATATGCACATGAAATACAGAATGAAATCCACATGCTGAACCTCAAATGCTTCATCAATCCTGGAATCCACAAATATTCCTATAGTGGAGTTGCAGCGAGGGGAGAGCTGTTCTGATGGACAGAGTTTATGTCTGGTTGGACTGCTACCTTTGATTAAGTGAATATTAAATGAGTTGTACACTGATCTCATGTTCTTCACTGGGGTGCGAACATACCTGTCATGAAGTTCTTACTGCCATCACTCTTTAATCCCTGGAGGTCAGCAGACAGCTACAGCAAACCTGGCTCCATCCTAACATCTGTCATTGCACCCCTTACAACCTGGTGCTTTCATCTCCTCCCTGGATACCTACATTTGTTACCACATCCTCTTTCCATTCCAGCAGGTTTGTTTGCCTTGAACAGACGTTCTTTTCTTTCCACACATTTCTTCAGTTCCAGAGAGAAGAAATGCTGCCACAGGAATGAGGTCAGTGGATGCGTCCTCACAGACTAACATTATGCAAAGGAAAACACTACTTAAAATTTTAAACCATCTTCACTCAATAATAAACACTGGTTTCATAGCTCAACCACAGCCCCTGGCATTTACAACGTACCAATTGTCATGCATTTCCTGTGCATAGCTTATAAGTTCAAGCCTTTTCATGTTTTAGTCAGGCTTAATTGCTTTTCTAATGAACAATATTTTTTAACTGATTGGAGCATTTGCTAATCCAACTTCACAACATCACCCAACATCACTCACAAACGGTGTTTGCAGATCTAACTCAAGCCAGAGCCAAGCTAGTGTTGTATATACCTCATAATTCTATTAAGTATCCCAAACTTCTATTCGGGGAAGATCAACAGTCATTTTCCCTTTAACTCCATTGCTAGCGTGAGTATTTTAACTTTCTGAATTTCCAGAGCCAATCTTTCACAAAGAAATAGGAAGTGTTTATCACTCAACTAGATGTAGACACTGGGTGATTCGCTGGGCTTCTTCCTAACTAGGTGATTTATTTCCATCTACCAGCCTCACAGCATTTACTTAAGGAAAATTCAAGGTACTATATATAATAGGGATTTTAACTAACTCGTGACCAAATAAAGCACATATTTTAAATCCACGTATGCTCCTACTACAGTTAATTTAGAAATATCTCCAGGTCCTTGTATATGAATTTCAATATACATGAAAGCAGTAACTCAACCCTCTGCTTTTCCTACTAATTCCGATCTATCATATATATGTCACACACACACACACACACACACACACACCCCTCACCTGCAAGAGAGTGAGCTCCTTGAGGACAGAAACCAGGTTTTATTTATCTTTCTAATCTAGTGCTCTTCATAGTGCCAGGGACTGTAAATAAATGCTGCTGAATAAATAAAAGTTGAATTTTCTCAAGGCTAGTAGTAAAAATCCTTTTTGTTTTTCATGGATTACTTCTCTGGAGATAAAAGTGGTTTAAATTTACTCACCAAATAACGTGCTATGAATTATGTAGGAACGAATTACCATTACTCCAATAGTTCAGAAAGGAAGAGTGAAGGAAAGACTATTTGTTATTTACTCAGCGATCGCCACTTAGCCGCTGAGAAATCAGTTGTTAGAACGTGGATGTGGTAACTATCCATGTTGTACTCTACCCATTAGCTCACATTGCTCACTGCAGCATCTCATATTCTCTGTCTGTTGTAAAGTTCCTTTAGCACAGTACGCCTTGTACTGAGAAGGAGTATCAGTTCTGTGCGGTCAAGAAAGAACGTGCTCTCTCCCTTTCCTTTTATGTAATGGGCATCGGCATCATTATTTGCTCAGCTTTCCAGGTTTGACAGGGGACAGTATGCTTTAGTGACTGAGAGAGACCATGAGGATGCCCCAGCTTTTAGACAGCATGTTCCCTGTGCTCTATTTCCCCCTCCATGAAAAAGAAAAGCACAATATTTAACAACATCACCAGGCTATTGTGAGCGTTAATTAGATTTGATGGGGGAAGGGAGGTGAGCTGATTACGCACTATTCAAATTCAAAGAATCATTATTTTGTGTCTAAAAATAATCCTGACTTAGGAACAAAATTAATTTGGAAGCTCAATCTTTGGTAATCATCTTCCCATACTTAGAAAAAAGTTTTTATTCACAATCCCATTCTAAGCACAATCCAATGAAGTAAAAGTGGAGATCTGTGAATTTCCACAGACTTTTGAAGTAATACAGTACATGGATCAATTTTTTATTTCTCTTTTATTTCCTTTTTGAAGCTACACGATGTGTAGAAAGGTTAATTTTGTGGAATGGAGTCATGTAAACAAAGTACATTAATTTTTTGTTTCACATGAAACGTTTGTGAAACACTTTAAATTACTTCTTTAAAGAATTAGTAATTGAAGTTTTGTGACTGAAATAACTTTTTAGGTCATTTCCTCTAAGTTCCATTTATTTTTATTTTTTTTCAAGAACTATTCAGTGAAAGAAGATCTTCGATCCATGTCTTAATCCCTGGACCTCATGAATGTTACCGTCCATGGAAGAGTGAATTCTGTACATGTGATTAAGGATCTTGAGATAGGAAGATTATTCTAGGCTATCTAGGTGGGCGTGAGAAGCAATCACAAGTGTCTTTGTAAAAGGAAGGCACAAAGAGATTTGACTACAGAAAGGAAGGAGACAATGTGGTGGCATGGGAAGCAGGTGGAGAAAGCCATGTGATGTGGGGCCATAAGTCAAGGAATGAGAATGGCCTCTGGATGACAGAAAACACCAGGAATGGATTGTCCCCTAAAGCCTCCAAAAGGAATCAACCCACCTGACACCTTGACTTAGCCCCATTAGACT